GAACCTAACAAGGAAAACAAAGATAAAAACATATTAGTTAAAATAAAATATAATAAAACTAAAATAAAATCATACTAAAATTTGAGTTATGACAGTTGCCCCCATTTTCTTTTCTTTCTGTCAAGAATGAAAAGAAAAGACAAGCATAACTCAAAATTTTCACTCTCTTTCTTTTCTCTTTTTCTTTTTTCTTTTTTTTTTTTAAATAAACTAAACAGGTAAAGTAAAACGTGTCGAATAACTAAACATGTAAAGTAAAAACGGTTAAGAAACCGCAATGGTCGAATAACCGAACAAGTAAAGTGAAAACGGTTTTATAACCACAACGGTCGAATGACCAAACAAGTAAAGTAAAAACGGCTATGAAACCGCAACGGTCGAATGACCGAACAAGTAAAGTAAAAACGGCTATGAAACCGCAACGGTCGAATGACCGAAAAAGTAACAGTAGAGTATGAATATGGTCGGATGACCGAAACAGTAGAGTATCAGTATGGTCGAATGACTGGAACAATAGAGTATCAGTATGGTCGAATGACCAAAACAGCAGAGCATGAGTATGGTCGAATGGCCAGAACAGCAGAGCATGAGTATGGTCGAATGGCCAGAACAGTAGAGTATCAGTATGGTCAAATGACCAGAACAGTAGAGTATTAGTATGGTCGAATGACCAGAACAGTAGAGCATGAGTATGGTCGAATGACCAGAACAGTAGAGCATGAGTATGGTCGAATGACCAGAACAGTAGAGCATGAGTATGGTCGAATGACCAGAACAGTAAAGCATGAGTATGGTTGAATGACCGAAAGGAGTAGAGTATGAGTATGAGTATGAGTATGGTCGAATGACCGCAAAAGTGAAGCATCAGTATGGTCAAATGACCGAACAAGAAAAGTGAAAACGGTTTTATAACCGCAACAGTCAAATGACCAAAAAAGTAAAGTAAAAATAGTGAAAGACGGTTTTATAACCGCAATGGTCGAATGACCAAACAAGTAAATGGTAAACGGTGATTGTAAATGGTGATTGAAAATAGTGATTGTAAAAAAATGATTGTAAAAAGGTGATTGTAAACAGTGATTGTAAGAGGTGATTGTAGACGATTATATAACCACAATGGTTAAATAACCGAACACATGGAATAGCTACGATCAAACGACCGAGCAAATGGAGTGGCTACGGTTAAACAACCGAGCTGGTTGAATAGCAATGGTTATATAACCAAGCTAGTTGAGCAAGAAACGGTTTCATAACCGAGCAAATTGAGTTGCAACAGTCAAAGGACCGAGCAAGTTTGTGTTTGTGCTTGTGCTTGTGCTTGTGCTTGTGCTTGTGCTTGTGCTTGTGTTTGTGCTTGTGCTTGTGCTTGTGCTTGTGCTGGTGCTTGTGCTTGTGCTTGTGCTTGTGTTGCAACAGTCGAATGACCGAGCAAGAAACAGTTTTATAACTGAGCAAGCAATGGTTTTATAACCAAACCAGAAACGGTTTTTTAACCAAGTAGAAGTGGTTTTTTAACCGAGCAAGAAATGGTTTTTTAACCAAGTAAGAAACGGTTTTTTTTAACCGAGTAAAAATGGTTTTTGAACCAAGTAAGAGAAGGTTTTTTAACCAAGTAGAAATGGTTTTTGAACCAAGCGAGAAACGATTTTTTAACCGAGTAGAAACGGTTTTTTAACCGAGCGAGTCAAGTTGCTACAGTCAAACGACCGAGCAAGTTGAGTAGAAACGGTTTTTTAACCGGGCAAGAAATGGTTTTTTAACCAAGTAAGAAATGGTTTTTGAACCGAGTAGAAATGGTTTTTGAACCACACAAGAGACGGTTTTTTAACCGAGAGAGAAATGGTTTTTGAACCAAGCAAGGAACGATTTTTTTTAACAGAATGAAAAATGGTTTTTGAACCAAGTAAAAAACGGTTTTTTAACTGATGGAGAAATGGTTTTTGAACCGAGCGAGAAAATTGTTTTTTTTTTTTCAACCAAGTAAGAAAATGGTTTTTTTTTTTAACCGAATGAGAAATGGTTTTTGAACCAAGTAAGAAACGGTTTTTTAACCGAGCAGAAATGGTTTTTGAACCAAGCAAGAAACGATTTTTTAACCGAGTGAGAAAATGGTTTTTTAACCAATGCAAGAAACAGTTTTTTTTTTTTTTTTAACTGAATGAGAAAATGGTTTTTTAACAATGAAGAGAGGTTAAGAAACTTCCCTGAACATATTGGATGTCCTTGCTCGGCAAGAGTCAAGTGTCCTCTGTGTTGTGCATCCATTAATAGGCTTGATGACATGTTTTGCATAAAGTTCAGTGACTTGGGAACATCTCTAGTTCACTGGGGAAAATTCTCGAATTATTACAAGATAGGATAAGCACCATGACCGTTGAATCAAGCTTTTGCTTTTCTCTGCAACTCTCATCTCATTTTCAGATTTGTCAAGAGATTTCAGTTAAATAAAGCAATTATATTAACTGAAATAAAGCATCATAACCAATCGGCTTCCCAATCTAAACAAGGAAAAGAAGGCCAGGGCATGGATAATATGTATGGATAGAAAGAGATAAACATGATTTTTGAATTGCACAACTTTTGATGCACCAATTTTAACAAAGCTAGAAGGCATTCAGGCTATAAAGTATTTGCTTCAAGAATTTATTTCTTTTGCAACTCCACCAATCCAGTCTTTAGCATATGAGACAATGTCTACTTCCATGTCAAGGTGGACAAATCCAATCTATCTCCTTCCCATGAACTAACCTTCAATGTTTAGAAAACTGATCATAAACCACAAAGACTTGGACTAGCTAGAGAAAGGAATTTTTTTTTTTTTAATGTTCCTTGACAAAGAAAGTTTCAAACCCTCAAATAAGGACTTTATATAAGCTTGTAATGTGGCTTGGGGTTAGGCTACTATGAAAGAAAGGGTAAAGGCTCAAAATCAATTTCTTCATATATTCCCCTCACATTTCTCTCTTCACGACCCCGGGCAATGATGTGGGTTAACAAGAAGAAAATCATCTTGGCTTTTTTGAACTTGGATGATTGCCTTTTTCTAGCTCAAAAAGGGTAAGCAAAGGACAATGTTAACTGTTTGGGATAGAGAAACAATGCCTTTCATCATTGGATCTTCAACTTTCCAAGTCAAGGAAACATTTAGCTTACTAGGTCACCCTTTTCTTCCCTTTTTTCTTCCCCTTTTTGTTTTTTTTTTTTTTAATGGAAATTCATGATCAAACTAAAAGCTATTATGTGGCTTTGGGTTAAGTTATCAAAAAGAAGGATATGAAGGCTCAAAAATCCCTTTCTGTTGGTATTTCCCTTTCACAATCACTCTTCACTTCCCCGGTTCATGATGTAGGTAAATTCACAAGAAAATCATCTTGGCTTTTATAGTTTGGATGATTACCTTTTCTTTAGGCTCAAAGGGGTGACTAAGGACAATGTAAAGTGTTCAGGCAGGGTCTCTCATCATCGAATCTTTTAGTTCTTGAATTTGATCATGATTTGCTATTCTTAGTTTAATGATTGCCATCATTTTGATTTCTAAAGCTTTAAAACCCTCAAAAGGACTTTTCCTTGGGTTGTAATGGGGTTTGGTTAGGGTTTTATGAAAAGAATGGGAATTAAAGGCTCAAAATTACCCAACATGCCCCTC